AATAATAATAATAATAGTAATAATAATAATAATAATAATAATAATAATAATAATAATAATAATAATAATAATAATAATAATAATAATAATAATAATAATAATAATAATAATAATAATAATAATAATAATAACAATAATAATAATTTAAACAATGATAATAATTCAAATAATAACAATAATTTAAGTAATAATAATAATTTAAATAATAATGACAATTTAAATAATAACAATTCAAATAATAACAATGATTTGAATAACAATAATGATTTAAATAATAATAACGGTTTTAATAACGTGAAATATTATGATTTGGTGGTAATTTGAAACAAAGATACAAATAATGTTTAACTATATAAGGATTTGAAGGAAGAAAAACTTCTTTAATTCGATTTGATTTAATTTAATTTCAACTCAAATACGGTATTTTTGTATGAATACTGTAAACGGCAACAACATCAGGTGAATAAATTTGACATAATTATTCATTAAATTATTAAAAATTCAAACATGAAATTGATTTCCTTATCAATTTTTCTCCTTCTTTTTATCAGATTTGATTTCAGTTTATTAGCAAATTTGATTCCCAACAATAAAAAGATAATTTGCTAACGAAATAATGATAATTTTTAGAAAAGGAATGCAAAATCAATTTGTCCACCTATATGATAAAAGAGGAAAGAAAACTGAACTTAAAATTTAATTAATGAAACAAACTTTGTGTGTTCATTCAGCAAAATATTTGCTATATAATTAATCAATCAATCATTAACAATAACTAATAATAAATTCTACTTGTTGCACAATAAATAATAATAATATTATAATCATCTAATAGTATAGCATATTTATTAAATGTTTATTTTTTTACTATCAATAATGAGTTTTTTTATTTTTTTCATTAACATTATAATAAATATTAAATGATATTTTATCAATACAAATGAATACATCAGTAATTAATTAATTGTATCAGATACATATAATATTCGTATATGAAAATGAATTATTATTATAATTGTTTGCAACACTACTAATAAACTAATTATATCAAAGGTAAATGTTAGATAGAGGAAATGCAATTCTTTAAAGTATATATTACATGAGTGTGAGTAAATATAATATTGGATAGATCAGTAATATCCTTTCACAATTTCAAATTTTTGTAAACACACTTTTCGTCCCTCATCTCTCTCTCTCTCTCACACACACACAATCCATTCCTGATTCAATTTATTTGAATGTCCGAGATTTGCATATCTTGTATAAATGTGAATTGTGTGTACCATTTCAAATTTTACTTCCCTTCCCTGTATGACCTATTTAGTAATTTGCTTAGCTTATTATATTATATTGTACTTATCGTTAGCAAGATAATTAATGCGCGAAATTTATTTTGGTAAATATTAACAGAAGGAAGTTCACTTTTAAACTTTACATATTGATTTAATTATTGGATTTCAATATGGTAGAAAAGAGAAATGAAAAAAACCACAAGTTTTCAAATATTTTAGTCAATTATACGCATTAATCAAGTTTCCGTCTTCTACTTTTTTTCTTTTACTTTCTATTGTATTTCTTTTTTTTTGAAGTTATAGGCTTTTTTATTTTTGTCTTCTTCTTTTGACTTCAACAATATTTCAGTGAATGAGAAATGGAACAACAAAAAAAAGGAAGAAACAATTTCAGGATTAACTTTAGCCCAAATAATTTTTAATATTGAATTTTAGCATTTTTTTCAATTTCACTAATTTTAATACTAAATTTCAGCTGTTTGATTAGGAGAAATTGTATAATTATATTTACAAATAGCATTTCGAACAATGCTAACTAAAGCAACTGCAAAATGGGAAAGAAGAATTATGTTTGCTATATTCAATCAACACTATTACTGTCACATGATCATCCTGAAGTGAAATAGGATGGTTACGAAAAATTTTTTCTCCCATTCTTTTCATTAGCCCATCTTTATTTCCATGCTTATTCGTCGAGTGCTTCTCAAGTAAGTAATGTTATGTAGAGAAATACCCGGAACTGAAAATATAAAATGGAAATATTCCTCGCTAAAATCCTAAAAATAAGTGTAATCATCAGAAGTTCAATTCTATTCTTATGAAAAAAGATAGTTGCTACAAGAATGACTGCTCTTCATCTCAAACCAACATTTCCATGGTTTGATAAGGAATTCCGACTTTTAATGTTCCAACCGAAAACTCAATTAACAAAATTAAAGAAGTGAGGTAGAGACACATTTTTCTAAGTTCACAGAAAGGTCATTGGCTGAATACAATCAATTAACAAAATTAAAGAAATGAGATTTACATAATCACAGATTAAATCTTCACGACGAAGCGGTAGATACACATTTTTCTAAGTCACTCAGCAATGTGGCAGCGTTAAATGCAAAACTACTTTCGGAACCATAGCTTTCACATATCATTTTCAGAGCCTGAAAAATTCAGTCATGAATTGATTGTCTTCCACATAGCCCAAAGTACATCTGAAGAAATCAAAAGAAAGATGCAATTTTTAAAAAGTTCAAAAATATAAAAATATTGTAGAACTTACCGGAAATTTCAGAAAAATCCTATCTGATCAGCCTTCATAAACTGATAAAATTTACATAATTATTATTGCCATTACAAGGAGAATGGTGATAAGAAAACAAATTTTTAATGGGAGGAGAACAAAGCCTACGATATATAATTTTTCAGAAAAAAAAAAAAACTATCCTGTTTAATAAAAACAAAACATGCAAAGTATCGGAGAAACAGCCGAACATTAAGCACAATGGTAACTTGAACTGAAAATAGTAAACCTTTCGTAGCACAGGAAGAGATTCCCGATTATGCTGTAACATCAATAATTTTGCATATTCAAACATACGCACAGAAGGTGAAGGATGACCTTTTGGATAATAAGTCCTGAAAAATAAACTGCATTTATTAACGGATGAAATTTCAAGAAAGAAAAAACAAAAGTACAACATAAAATTTTAGTTAAAATTAAAGGTGGAATCCCAAGTGACATTTTTTTCAAAATTCTCATTAAACTTTATTAGATTTAAGAATTCAGTCATTAAAATCCTTCCAAACCTCAAAGGAAAAAAAAAACCTGTAGCAAAGAAGAGTTTTTTCGGCATACTCTACTGCTTCGTCGTACTTTTCATTATTCAATGCTGAGATCATAATACTTTCCGCCAATTTACAAAGAGGAACGTTGTATGGCGAGAAAACTTCTTCTAGTTCGTGATATAAATCTATCAGCTCATTTAGATTCTTTTCTGCAGGCCCTGAAAACAATGGAACAAATTACAGGAAAAGAATTAGTAACAGGAAATAAATTTAAATGTCTTCATCGATCAGAAGTGGATTTGAACCGAACATCAAAATGGAAAGCATTCTGTATGCCTTATTCCTTCAACAAGCATAAACCTATATGATTTCCATTTCACGGAAAAACCCACGAGGAGCCGTTAATTGCTGGTACAACTTCTGCACATGATCAGAATTGAAAACTGATATCTCGTGACAAACTTTACATCGCTTTACTGTATGATCATCATCAGGACTATATGGACAGAAACCATCTGTGCATTTGGTACATCGTACAGAGCTCTTCTGCCGATCCTGAAATTCATTTAAATCATGAAATCATCAAAATCTAATGATGATTATGTCAACAAATGAACTTCCATTGGCAACCAAATTTTTGACTTATGACCAAATTTTTGTCAAATAATACTTAACAAGCAAATAGCTTACCAAATCAAAATCTTGACAAATATCACAGTTACACACAAAATTGTGCTGCTTTTGCAGGGCTTCACATCGTGCAGACCTAAGATCCAATAAGTCACAGTACGGAATGTGTAGCTGTAATTTATTGCTTAACATACAATTGACTGAGTGAATCAATAGTAAATCATAAAGTTCAAAAGTCAAACAAAACATGGAGTCAAGAAATATAACAGACTTCTAAAACTTTAGTCTTCTTAAAGATTTTTAGTATGCCGATTAGGATTTGTTTCCGTCCATACACAAGACCACCTTACATTGTTGTATCAATCTAAAATTAAAAAAAAAATTAAAAGATAACAAACGTTGTCGTTGTATTCCGTTATATTTTCATTCAAGGATCTTAAGATTGCTTTCGCACCACTGAAAATTATGAATGCATCTGGTTTACAGCTATGATCCAAAGCTGAAAGTCTGGAAAAAAAGGTTAAATAGCAGCATGATGAATACAAAAAAAGAAGTATATACGCCGCAAAATACAATAAAATAGCAATGGTAGTAGTGCTTCAGAACGGGAAGCAACACTTCAACTGAAGTCGATATAAAAAGGGTTTCAAAACAATCTTCTGCTTCTTACTGCTAAAACTTTTTATTCAAATAAGTTAAAAAATTGGCAAATCAATAAACAAGATGATGACGTGATTTTAAGAAGAAATATATTTCTGGACGATTTCCAATCGAAAAAAGTTCTGAATAAGGAAGAGAAAGTAAAAACTAAACGGTCAGAGAAATATGAGCTGATAATTGAACTGGGTCACTTACAGCTATGTAAATAGTAAGGGTACAGGATTTTTAGTTTTAGAAGATATTTCCTCTTCAGGGTTGCACTTGACGCACATACAAACAAAAAAAAGGAAAAAAAACCAACCCTAGATAAACTGCAAGACCAATTCTATTTAAGCATGAGTCTGTGATTACCAATGCATTGATCAAGATCTGTAATTACTTATCAGTTAATGGAATTAAAGAAAAAGTAAGGAAAGTAAAAATGATGATAACTATTCCAGAGGGAATTACTGGGTTATAGAATCCCTCAGGACTGAGAGCTATTTGTGCTGCAGCATTGACTAATGATGGTGATAAGAAGTTTACTTTGCGACTTATTAAAACAGCACGATGGCAGAAAGTCCAGCTCAAGTTAAATCACCTCTATATGAATCAGATTTGATACTGTCGACGAAAACGGCCTACTTTTAGTATAGTATCTTGGTCACTAAAACTTTCAAAATATTCGAGCTATTATGTTATCTCGGACATGCTTTAGAGTCGTGGTACAAATGCAAAATGGAACAGAAGCCTGGGCCTGAGTCTCAAGATGGTCCTTGGTGACAGCTCCCTGACTTTTGACTTTTAGCCCAGATTATCAATAACTGAATATTTTTAATGCTAAAAGAGGAGAAATAAAAATAAATTGAAAACCTTACTTTACAAAAAATATCGAAAATTTCAGTGTTGGATGGCATCTTGTCAAATGGAAGGTAATCTTTGATGACATGTATAATGGCTATAAATCCATTTCTCTTCTCCTCATCTTTCTCGATATCAACAGTATCTTTAAAGATGTTAATTGCTTGCATGTCTTCAATGAAATATTCCGGGAACATTTTGATTTATGTTCAAAAGTTGATCGAAGTGAAGTTAAGCTTTGAAGGAAAGATTATCTACACACTACCAAATTGTATTTACTTTTTGTGTGATCTACCGTTAAAAAGTTCTCAGTATTTGCAAAACATAATACCCGATCACCACCGTCAATTTTGTCTTACTCGTCTAATTCTATTTGGATCAAAAGAAAGGAAATGGCACAACAGAAACTCTGGTAAAATCGGATGCAGGAACCTCACATCGAATGACAACGATTTGCGATAATCGAATGAAACATACGGACTATAACCTTAGAGGAGATCAATGACGGATCTGGCGCAACAGAATCCAAATTCTAATTGAATCAGATTGAATCAGACTAATTATCAATGTTTCAAACAATGAAGAAATTAAATAAAACATGGTGATAACTGCCAGCATCACGGAGTCCTTCTGTCATTTTCGAAGGACTATTTCATAATTCATTTTAAGTGCATCCGAGTAGGAAATGCGCAAAATTCTGGTAATTAGCTAGGAATGAAACTTACGACTTTTTAAAGAAGCAAAAACACGCCCATTGAAAGCAGGACTTTTATCACCACAACGCCGTAATTTCATAATTATCCGACCTATTAATCGAGGCATTGATTCCGGAATACGTGGGGCCACACGTGACAAGTATGAGCATTCGCTCTAGAAAAAAATAAATTATAAAATCAAACAACACCATTATTAGAGTAGATCACATTCCAAAAAAGACGATCAAGATTCTGCAAAATATAATTATGACACAAAATTTACAGCTTTCACAAAGATCAAATTTACACCGTGGATCATTACTTTATAGTAGCTGATTTTTTAAGAATAATTTTAGCCTCACAGATTTGACTAAAACTTTTATTTGAAAACTATAATTGCTCCCGTATAGGTCCTAAATTGTTTTCATCGTTAAGGAAAGAATAATCAACTTGTTTTCCATAAAACTGAATTTTGATTCGGCACCAAAAAAAATTTCGTCACATCAACTTCAAAAGATTTCCGATGAATTTTGCTCAAAAATTTCAAGGTGTTATATTAATTACTCATACTTAACTTCTGATCCGATATTATCATTTTCATCAAAAACAGCCATCCCATGTGTAGACCATTGTAAAAGAGACTATAATTAAAAATTATAATTAAAAAATCTTCATGTGGATTAGGTAAAACTGAATTTTGGTGGTAGTTAAATTAATAAACGAGCAATAATGAGCAAATCAAATAAGCAAACCTTATGAGTAAGCCAATCCTTCTTTTGACATTTCATATTACAATAGTGAGTGAATTTGCAGCGACCACAACGACTCAGTTTTTCTTGAGTATCTCTAAAAGAACATCAACTTAAATCTCGAGAAAGGGAATAGAAAACGGAGATAAAAGAAAAAGTTAAATTTGACCAAAAAATATACAAAGTACAAACTAAATAATTGTCGAAGTAAATTAGTAGAAAGCAACAAGTGCCAAGTTTGACTATTTCTCATAATTCTCAACTGCTATTAGATATCTTTAACATCAGTATAAAGTTAAAATTTAAATAAAAAATTCCCTAAATGAGATGGAATTTTTTGGTACAAATATCATTTAAATACATTAAACTTCCAAATCCAATTTCATGCCAGTCTACCAATTAGAATTTATGTTACAGTTTAACTTCCACATAAAGCAGGCTCATATCAATTCCAAGAGTCCATGTAACAATTTTAAAGTTGGAAGTTCGCTTAAAGCCATATTGTAACAACATCTAATTTTCTACAGTGTAGCTATTTGTTTAACTTGACCGTTTCATTACTTCAACTTTTCCTCTCTCTCATCTTGCGTATGTATTTCAACCCCATTGTTAGAATTTATTAAGGAACGCTTCCTATGTAAGACTGACATATCACTGAACCAGATCATTCCGAAGCTTAAAAGATCAGCTGTAAGTCTCTATCAAGCTGTCCTAATTGACAGAAAAACAAGGGAAGGTCCTCTTTTTTTGCACATCCTAGCAAAATAACCAAATAGATAACGAAGTATTTATTATTCGTTATAACCTTTAATCTTGGCCTATACATTTACATAATTATCGCGCTAAAGATGTACCTCCATTGTGGAATGTAATCGGAAAAATAACATGGGATATTGTTTCAAGAGATGACAGTTTTTTGGCTAACTTCCTAACCTAACCTAGAATGAGCTAAAATTACCTCTCCCACATCGATATCATACAATGGGCACAAACTTTATCAACAAATTTACTGTCCACCACATGTGCCAACGGCATTTCCTCAACCAAAGTAGTAAGAGATGTATTCATTGCCTGAAATACCTTGAAGTTTTTCAACTTTCAACTTCCTAAAAATGCAATGGATTGAAAAGTTGTACAAGCATATTAACAAACCGGTTGGGTCGTTTCGAAATCTTGTAATGTCTAAATGTAGATCATACAAATGAAATTATGGAAACAAAAGTTTATTGGCAAATCGGTTGAACCGTTTTACTGTTTCCTAAAGCACTGCTAAAACTAGTTCTGTAATAGTGCTGTAATTTGGTTGTCGGATGCAAAAAAGAGAAACAAAAATATTTGGTAACCGATTGAACCATTTTAGAACGGTACAGTTTCGGAATTTGAATGAGCTAATAAAGGGATTCTGGTTGGTGACAGGTATCTTGTCATTTGTAGAGGTAAAATTTAAAAAATCCCCTTTACAATGTTAGTTTGCTTTTTTACTATTTTACAAGAAATTGTAATAAAACTATAAAATATAAAATTATATGTGGAAAAAAATTCGAGAATAAAAAATTTTGCTGAGGCATTACGAAATATAACATTAACAAGGAGTGCTTATAGATCGATGACAAATTGAAATTAGTGTAGGTAGAGAAGCAATCATAGATGAATGTATAAAATGGGCTGGAAATAAATTACTTGGAATTAATATTGAATTTGAATTTGGTTTTCAATTAATTTATGATTTAGGAATCAACCTGAATGTAATATTTGGCAAGAATCAGTTTTATTCCAAAAAAGAAAAATTGTTCATCTTCTATACATATATTGCACCACATATTTTCTAAAATATAAAAAGAATTTCTAATTAATTATCGTAGAAACCAAATGCATGCAAAAGATGCATCTACATACATTGCATTTTGCATGCGTAATACTACTGTTATATGTAATAACAATATTTTACACGATTAAACACTAACCAGAACACATATGCTTGCCTTATTTTTCTTCCCAATAATGAGAAAAAGCCAATGAAATTTAAGATTTTTGTCCTTTTTAATTAATTTAGCGGAAATATTGATATCGATAGTTTCGATTGGCTCTAAATTAGCAATAATTAAATTTCCATAAAATTTTTGTATGTAAATTTTGTATGTCAACAAACAGTGCAAATTTAAAAACTGGGGGGGGGGGGAGGGGGGAAAGAACATTCTTGCGACTTTACGTGACAAAAAGAAGATCCCAGCATAATTAAATATGAATTTCTTTATTTTTCGCCTTCGCAATTATCTTTGTAAAATTTTAAACAATTGGAAAGTGCTCTTTTATTATTAAGAGAGAGAGAGAGAGAGAAAGAACGAGGTTATTCTGATCTGATAAAGTATACAATGCATTCGTTATCAGCCAATACTTCTGGTGTTAGTTCGTTAGATTTCTGAAAAATATAATGTACCTTTTTACTTTAACTAAGACATATATTAATAATATCTATATTGATAATCAAGGTGTACACTGCATTGTTCCAATAAATTAGGTTAAAATATTACAGCTATAACATGCTTTATTGGTTTTTACTCTTTTTTTTTCTTTCTCAAAATTATTCACTTTTTCTCTTTATCACTTCTTTAAACTATTGTGATATTAAAGTAACATTGTTATATCTTTTCTTCGTATTATTTTTCACTTTTATTTTTTGTGACACTCTTATTCGTTGAAGCTTATAATAGGAACTTGATTAAACCCTTTGTTTTTTATTTCTTGAAGCCATTTTTATTTGTTCAATTTATTTTTAATCCAAACCGATTTTTAAAAAAAAAAAAAAGAAAATTTGCTTTTTATCAATTAATTTGACATTAAAAAGAAATTTTTTTCCACTTCGTCTTCATTACTTTTTTTTGGCATAGCTTTCAGTAGCATATAAAAAACTTGCTTATAATAAATTTATGGTGTGATTATAATTATTCCATCAAAGAAATCTTTTTTTTTAGTTGAAGAAATAATAATCGATAATTTTGCTAATTAATCTCTCCCTACTTTTTTTCTGGCAAAAAAGAGGAAAAGGAAAAGTGAGGAATAAAGTAATCATGACTATTCTGGTTCATATGTTGCATTTAGGATCGGAAACTTTCAGTTAATTACTATATGTCATATCGTTGTCACAGATGTGTTACATGGATGGGTATGTTGTTTGTCAAATATACTTTTTTTTTTTCGCTTGTAAAGGATCATATTGTAAATGTTAAATTTCCTTTTTTTTTTGATTCAAATGAAAGAAAAATGCTTAAATGTTAAAATCTACTTAAAAATGCCCTGAAATTATAAACGAGTGAATGAATGAAGCTATTGAATGATTGAATAAAAGAATTAATTAGTTAATCGATTAGAAAATAAATGACTGAATAAATGGGTTATTCAAACAAAATAAATATTGGATTAATTAAATGACTAGTTAATTAAACGACTGGATGAACCAATTAGAAAATGAATTGTTTAAATTAGTAACGGAAGGGATATGCTTGCTATATACTACGTAATATTTACGAGAAAGAGCGGTTAGTTACACGGAAATCGTTTCAAATAGACAACAGGGATTTGAAGAAGGTAGGAAATACAACAAAGGAATCAGAGAAAGGAGAAAAGAGATTAGAGTAGTAATGATAGAAGGGATAGAATTGACTCCTATTACGTTTATTATGTAGTGGGAGAGGGAGCGTGATGTGTACGTGATAGCAACCACGTAACCACGCGCATTTGTATCTTAATAGGAATTACTTGTTTCTATTTATACTTCCGTTGAGATTATTTATTTCATCATTATCAATCGCTCAACATTTTACGTGATAATTACTTGAATATTTTGGATTATGTACCCGTTTCCATTACGTAATATTGTATGACTTCAAATGTGTTTACTGCATTACGGATTGTTACGCAAATTACGTATTGTTGTCGTTTTACTTTGATATTACTTCCGGCTGGTTTTCTAACTTATTACACGTATCGTACGTATTACACTTGTCACATCTATTTACATAAAGTAATCTATTTACATAAAGTAACCAGCAGTGCGATTGTGTACAGTTATGCTACGTGATACATCATCCAGTGCACCGAAATATCATCGTAGCTTCACATCCACACGTGATCGTTCTCGATTTTCTGGAAATGCAACGAAGCCATCCCTTACAAGTTGCATCATTTTCTGTAAGTTCACTTAACAATCATGAATTGCTTTATTTCTAATCTGAAAATTTTCGTGCAAGATTCAGGGGTAGGCATACATATGCATGATATTTTTAGCACGAAATAAACACTTTTCTTTAGTTATGGTACTTTTTAAAATAATTCGATCAACTTTTTATTCATAAACGAAACATTTATACATATGCACGAATCACTTGCGTGAACGTGAATCACATTCATTTCATCCAAGTTTCTTAAGCTGATTATACTAATTCTCGGAAACTATTCAAATTGGCAGGAGTACGTCTTTCTCCATGTATATTGCATGCAGTCGAGACCATTTGGTCACTGGACTTGACCTGACATAAGCACAAAACTGAGGTAAAAGTAGAATAAAAGTGGGAGGAAATGATAGAGATAAACCATTAAGTCAACAATTATCACGTTGACAATTCGTATTCATATATACTTGCAGCAGTTGTAGAGGGTCGTGGTAGTGCACGTGGTGAAATTGGACTTGCAAGTATTGATGCATTATGTAGTGAATTGCATTTATGGCAATTTATAGATTCTGCGTCTTATGCACGACTTCGAATTCAATTTCAAATTCAAGAACCTGTTGAGGTTTTCCATACAATTATTTCTCGTTTATTCAATAACTTTCAAGATAACGTAAATCTTCCATTCTTTATTACATGGTTTTCGGATGAAAACAACTTTCCAAGTTGTAATTTGAGGCGAAAGTAAAATGCTTGTAAACAAGTATTTAAAATTAAAATACTTATTTGGTGTTTCGCATCATCCTATCTGCTTATCCGTCATATTCGGATAAGGGGTCATAACTATTTGCAGGTTATTGTTCCAGAATCATTCGTCGAAAAAAGCTAATAGTATGAACGCTGTTCTGGAATTAATTCGCAGCACTTATCCAGAAGTAGAAATCACAATGATTAATAGGCGTTATTTCAAGTATTTAATTTTCTCATTTGTTTAAAAATAAACGTTTTAACAAAACCTAGCTTTTAAGTAAATCGTTTGTAGTGACGGATTGTTTGGATGAGAGTCTGTTGACTTTTATGAGTTTTTTTTTTCAGATTTCCAAAATTTTGAAGCTTATGTCACAAAATTGCAAATGTAAACTGAAAATAAAATGATTTGAAATATATCAACGGTACAGCTGATGCAATTTATTATCTTCATTTTCAGTGACTTGAAAGGAATTGAATTGATAAAGCAGCTAGGTTCGAGCGAATCCTCCAATATAACACCAGAAGTTTATAAAAAGTTTGTTCTTACGGAATTTTAAAGGACACGGGCAAAGTTTTGTTACAAATTTTTGAGAATATGAGAAATCAAAATTGCAGTATTTGCTGATTTATCATTATCGCATATGCTTTACCATTCTGTTGCAATCTCTGTGTTTTATTTCTGGTTATACCAAGATGCTCAAAACCTTAATTTAATACCATTTCGATGATGTTCTTAAGATAGTTTTGAATTTTAAATGCATAAAGGTACATCTGTCTTAAACTAATCGTCTCCTTCTTACCTCCACTTCCGCTCAGCAAGTATACTGTATTTTTTGGAGGATGGGATAACGATTCTTTCTCGTACGTGTGCTACCCTGTCTATTATTTTCCACTAAAACAAGCAATCATTACTCGTTCAAACAATTTTACTTCCTTTGTCTTTTGCATACTCTTGAAAGTTATAGGTATTACTGTATGGCTGCTGCCGCAGCATTAATCAAATACGTAGAATACATACAAAATGTATTGTTTGCTCAAAATTCGGTGAAAGTGACTTATCTTGTTGCAGAAAAATCTTGTTTTATAGGTGATGAATTTCAATTTTTTCAATAAATTGTTATGAAATAGATTATAAAGTTGTGATATATATCGATAAATATAATCTTTTAACTCTTTCAGCTTTTTTATGGCAGATGAAATGCACCGTTTAAAAGTAGTTGTTTATTTTCGAGGGTTACTTGATTTAGCGCATTTCTCTATGAATATGCATGTTTGTTGGCAGTAAAAGGGATGTAGTTTGATGTACTGCCAGATTGTATTTCATTTAATCACTAAACCAAGTTACGAGAAAAATGACTTGAATTGTTATATCTATTCGATGAAGCTTACAATTACAGATGTAAATACGATGCGAAATGTTGAAGTGGTAGAACGCATACATCTTAAGCAAAAAACATTGGGTCGTAGTCTTTTCTCGGTTTTGAATACATGCCTGACTAGCGGCGGAGTACGATTGCTTCGTAGTAGCTTACTACAACCTTCAGCTGATTTATCGATGATTGAAGCACGCCTGGATGCTATTGAGGAGCTCATTAACAATCAACCGGTTTTTTTGCGAATTTATTTTTGAAAATTCAAACTTATATGATTTATTAGAGCAATAGACCATTACAAAAAAAATTTTTAATTTATAGAAGTTTGATCGTCTGCGAGCAATTATTGCCGGCGCAAGTGATATATATCAATTAATAACAGTTTGTTGTTATCTAGAAAATCAAAAGGAAACTGTTCGTATAGTTGAGCATCGCATCACTCAGGTTCACCTTATAATTTTGCATTAAATCACATTAGTTTGAGTTTTTAGTTTAATAAATGTGGTTGCGAAAAATTGATTGAAGGTGGACAAAAAGTCATTGGAAAAGTTTTGGCTTTCGAATAATCCTGAAGCTTTTGTGGTTTTTATGTTGACTATTTGATTTTAAAACTCAAAAAAAAACTGTAAAATCTTATTGAGTTATTATCTCTTAAGACTTTTGCAAGTTGTTATCTAAGATTATTTTAGGAATCACGCTAGTCGATGGAAATTATACTCACTAAATCTTTCAGGTCCTGAATTTGCAGCAAACGTTACATTTAATTAAACCGTTGCGGGATTCTTTAAAAAATAGCAAAGCTCATTTATTCCGTTTATGTTACAGTGTATGCTTTCACCTTTTTAAGCACCTATTTACTCATTTGCATCGTTAAAGTTGGATATTTGAAATTAAAAACTTCTCGACTAGTTTTAGAAGTTTAGTTAATTATTGGTCTAATGTGGCATTCAGCCGTTTAGATCTTCATTAGGTGTCTGTTGATAATAACGTTATTTGTTTTTCCTTTTCTGGGCCTGATAATGAAATGTACGATTATGTATTTGGTTTACCCATAGCAAAGTGATTGTGATTAAGCCCAAAGCGTGCAGTGAAAGAAAAAGGAATATTTTCCCTTATTCTTTTATTGGTGTGGAAGCGTGGTTTAGTCAGCTTCTAAATTTGCCAAAGGATATGAAAGGGTCGTCTCACAACCTAAATCAAATGTTTTGGAGGAAAGTTATTGTTATGGCGATGCTGTAAAATGGGTTGGGGAGATTCTAAAATGAGGATTTTATATGACTTACATTTCAAAGGAAATCCCTTTTTTTAATGTCCCTTTTTATTTACAAAAGAAATCTATGGGTTGAAGCATTTGGACGATGGACGATTCGAAAATATTATGGATATTCTAGATGGAAAATTGAAAACAGCAGGTAAAATAGGCGAGCGATCCGCTTTAGCACTGCGACAAAAACGATGCTATGCAGTTCGGGTAATTTTTCTGTTCACTTCCGCACTAATTTTCTTTATTATATTTCTTTAATTTCCGCAAAATATATCTCCTAAATCTCCAGAAAAAATATGGATTTATTGCTTTTGACAATTTTTAATAGTTTTTTTAGGACGGAATGGATCAGATGATTGACGTGATGCGAAAAGCGTACGAAGAGCTATTACGTGATACGCGCGGTATGTTTTGTTTTCTGGTCGTCAGACTTTTAAAAATTCTCGTGGTGGTTAAAATTTTCAAACATTCGCAAAGTTCAAAATTAAAACTTGTTAATTAATACCCTACATTTTGAACTTTCGAGCTTAAAAATTTTGCAATAAGTGATAATGATTTACAAAAAAAAAATAATTAGAATTTTAAAGGATATACTCAAGCACTTATTTTGCCTAAGGCACCTTGAAAATATGGTGCAATTCAATGGCATCCTGCTAGTGATCAATTTATATGCGATTATTTTGTTTCGGAGAGCTCAATTTTCAACTGAAAATCATAAAAACGGGTTTTCGCATATTCCGTGACTAAAGTTTGGAAATAAACCCGGCAGTTCTCGATCGTTATGTGCTAATTTTAAATTGCAAACACCATTAACTAAGCATGGAGCTTACATTCTCTAGTATGTCTTGCGCTTCTTGTACGTTTTTGCAAAATTTGCAGAAAAAAGTAGTGAAGATGCAAGCGAGATACCAGAAGCAAAACTTATCTATACTGCAAGTCGTGGTTTCCATTTTTCTATTCCATGCCCGGATCCTGTGGCTAAAATTAAATTACCATCGCATTTTATTGATGCAGTCAGAAACCGGGCTTCTATTTCTTGCACAACTCGTTCATTATTACGCTATAATGGTTAATCTCTTTGTACTATATTTTTCTATAAGTTTACAAAACTTCTTAAACTGATTTGAAATTAACGCGACAATTTAATTGCATATTTGTCGACAAAGATTTCAAAGAAAATTGATATTACATCTTGCTGTGTTTTTAGCTGACATTTGACCCAAATAACACAGCAGCATATTTAAATATAAACATATCGAATGCTACGAGAGTCATTCCTAGCAAGGAATATTTTAAAATTGGAAAACTTCAAAGAACTATTCAAATCATTTACAGAAAGAATCGATGAAGTGGTTAATGAAATAACGATTAGGAGCAATGTGACAGTGGTAGAACTATTGAATCAGGTATCTTTTTACTGTACAGAATCCTCTGTGCAGTTCTAGTCGTTTTTCAAATATAAGGAAAAGCCGTTAGATGATCTGTTAGGTAGAGAAATGCCGTCAAGTGGCCACATATTTTCGCCGAAAAGTTGTATGACAGAATAATGATTGGATAGCAGATTGAAGTTAATTGAATCAATGAAAATAAGGAACAGATTCGAAATGGTATGCATATATGAGTTGTGGGTAAAAATGCAATTTAGGGTATACGAATGCATTCTTAGTTTTATGGCTACCTGTGGTTAGTGCGCACTTTTTTTTTCTAAATTCGAGAAATTCTCTTCACGACGAATATGTACTTGAAATTAAGCAGGAAAAAGAAATAGCACATTGTCGATGTTTTAGATCCGTTTAATGATCCCATGTTTATATCATGCGATTGAAGCAATATCCATGGTAGATTTCATCTCCTGTCTTGCGACATACGCTATGAAAATTCAATCAGGTATATACTTATCGGTCAAAAAATTTCATTTCTTTTTAAAAGTTTTAAGTGTAAGATTGGTTTAGTCAGTAAAATTTGCTGAACTTTCTGTTTTATTTTTCTTTACACAGTTCGACCCTCATTTTCTCCCTCAATGTCGATGATTATTAAACAAGGAAGACACCCACTTTTGGATTTGGCGAGCGAGAATTTCATCCCAAATGATGTGGTAGGTTTTCTCATATGTAGCTATCAAACAAACTATAAAGATATCATAAAAGTTTCATTTCTTTCTTTTTTTCTTTTGAAAGTTCCATCTTGCTGTGTGTCATTCTCGTTACATTCAGATGCTAAGAAATAAAATCGAATACTTTTTATTCTCATCGAACGATACTATATATCGCTGATGGAATATGTCACAGTAATACATACTGTATCATATTCCATAGTGATAATGAAATCACGATAAATGAAATAGATGTGAAATACCGTTATCAAAGTTCAATAAGTTGTACGGTTTAGCAAAGGTCATACAGTTCAAGCAACGGCAGTAACCAACAAATTGAGATTAAATAAATTGAAATCGATAGTTGACGTTAGTCTTCGCATTAATTATTTGACTTAAACTAATAACTTCCAGTACCAAAAGCTGCAATTAGATCCAAAATTAAGGCATGTTTCTTGCATCTTTAAAAGCTTCATTTTTTCTTTTCGGAATGGTTGTAAAGAATTCATGAGTTGTGATGGTCAAAGCTTAATCTTAACTACTGAACTTTAATTAATGAATTTTTGGAATTTTAGTATTTGTCACCTGAATCAAGAATCAATATTATTACGGGACCAAATATGGTAAATTACTTTTTGAAAATATTAAATTCTTGAATATTGTTAATGTAAACTGCTGATTGTTTTGTAAAAACTGCATATGCCACGAGAATGGTCATTAAATCGATGGTGACATTAATGAAAAACGAAGTTTAGAAGTTGTTTAGTAGATAAGCAATAAACATGAGCTATCGTTATGGCAATTTTATATTTATACTTCTTAGGCAGGAAAATCAACATATTTGAAGCAAATTTGCTTGCTGCATGTGCTAGCCCAAACAGGGAGTTTCGTACCGGCAGAAATGGCGGTATTTCCAGTTCTTACCCGAATCTTTTCACGAATCGGGCATAATGATGATCTGACAGCTAACTTGTCAGCTTTCGCTGTTGAGGTGGGTGGTTGAGGATAGTAAGAAATTTGATAAAATTTTTATCCAAAAGTTTGAAATTATCTAAGATTTTAGCTTATCGCAATAAATACATCTGTTTATATCGTGTTTTATTTATATTTGGGGTAAAGAAAAAAAAAACCTTACGTAGATCGAAGCATAATCAAGTTTTTCATGATTTTTTTCAGATGTCGGAAATGACAGCTATTTTACATACCGCCGATTCTTTATCATTAGTGCTTGTCGATGAACTTGCGTGTAGTAAGTGTCTCAATTGAATTTTAATGTTTTCAAAAACCTCGTACTGAAACTTGTTTTCCTCCGCAAGAATAAGTAAAATGATGAGACAGTCCTTTCACATTAGATACAATGATGAAACAATGTTTTATTCCTTAGGTGCAATGATGGTTGTTTTTCTTCTTAAACTGGGAACCAAAATTCAGTTAACGTTAATTAAAGTTTTTTAGACACAGCACATGATGAAGGTTTAAGCATATGTTTTGCTATATGTGAAGAGCTTCTGCGGAGGAAGGTTAAATCTCTTAATTGTTCAGATTTTCTTTTTTTTAACTTTAAATAGGTTTTTATAAAACGCAAGATTTTTGTCTTACCGATAATCTAACCATCCGATGAATTAAAAGGAATAGAAGAAAGAAATTGTATCCTTTTATCATTTATGCTTGCAACACTAACGATACACCGTATCCATCATGTTCCTCACTTCCAGTAAAAGACATGAAGTTTTGGTATATAACTAACCAAGTGATATAATTTTTAACTTTTATGATATAATATTTGTGTACTTCCATGACATAATATTTGTGCATCCATCAATGCAGGTTTTTCAGAAAATCCTAGTTGCAGGCATATGTTGTATTCGCTACTCATTATCTCAATTTGGCATCGCTGGCAACAATGTATCCTGGTGTTGAAAAGTTACAATTTTTCCTTCAATTTTTTTGCTATTCCGTTTGACCTCTTTTATAATGACGAGAATTTGTTAAAGATTGAATACCTACTATGGCTATATCCGACATACAATGCTTAACAATGCTAAAATCTTTAAACTTGAAATCTGATTGGTTATGCGGTTAATCTTATTGTGCTGGTAAATGGATTCACATAAGTCCAAGTAATATACCCTGCAATAATAGTGGCGACGCCCTGTACATGGGAAGTTAACAATACTTGATGAATTTTTAAATTTGAATTTGTCAAAGCAATTTATTATGGGGCTCTCATATTGTCATTGTGTTAAGTGACTGATTCCATTTAGCCGATCGTAACCTTTAGTAGACTTCATTTTTAGTTTCCACTTCTCGACTAGCACGGTGAAAATCAAGCAGGATGACGGCAGCGAAGTGGAAAAACTTCAATGTTCTCATCAACTCTATACTGGTCCGTACAATGGTCCACTTTATGGTAAGCGCGTGTATCATTTATAATAATTCTCCTTTCTCGTTCATGCACTTTATCCTGTTTCAAACTGTCAAGTACCCTTTTCTGTTCGCTTTTGATTTATATAAAACAATATGACTGCAACAGTATTCATTCAACATTTCCATCTTCTAATCTTTTACCAGAATCACAGAGGCAATTTTATAGCTTTTTACATCTGTAAAATGGTAGCGTTCGTATGTGAGCCCCTCATGAATGGAACTTTAATGCCAAAGAGAACTGTTTTAGTTTCTGTGATAAGTTTCATTTGCAAGACCTCCTACACTTATCTTAATTTAATCACTGGTTGAAGTATGATGTAGCTGGAAGTAGTGTTAAACACGCTCTCACTGCGTACTTTTTCAGCATTCAATTTGGCTGATCTAACAACTTTCCCAAAAGAAGTACTGGATGAGGCACATACACTAGCCACTTCTTTGTGTACACAGCGTAATCTGATAGTTGAAATGGATGAAGAAGCGCGTCAGCGTCGTGCTATCATTCGATTTGCATGCAAATTACGTTCCATGCTGCCAATTTTAACAAAAACGGACAATGATGTTGCTGCTAATTACCTTTCAAAATTGCGCGATCAACTTTTCCATCAATTGCCACCTTTGACAAATGATCAATAACTGCAAATTCTTCTAAAATGGGAATATTCGGTATCCTTTTTTTCACATCGGTCTATTAATTACACTTTACATACAAAAAGTGCTGAGCTTCGACTACGCTTCCCATCTGCCAAATTTCATATTATTTGGACTTTTTCATCCTCACTAATGAATCACATTTTTGAATTTGAGAATGTAGAAGTTGTAAAGCGAATACAACAATGACATCTGAAAGTTCAATGGGCATTAACGTGGTAGTAGTAGTGAAAATAGTTCCTAGGGGTAGAATGCCGAGGCAGTTTTTAATTTCTGTTAATTTTGTTTCTGTTTTTTTTGACCTCCTCAATTTTTTTCGTCCAGTTTTGTGGAATTTCGACTTTATATGATGTTTGAACTGTCTGTTGTTTGCTGTCTGTAAAATTATACTCTGTATTATAAGTGAAATTTGTAAATAAAAGCACTGTTTTTAGGAAATTTCTCTGCACATCGAATGTTCAATATTTGAAACCTGGTATTTGAATACCTGAAATAAACGACCTTCCTTCTCGAATTAAATTTTTTTGATGATGAAAATCATCTGAATACTGCCATAATTCGATGCGCCTCTGAATAAAATGCATCTTCAAATAAAATGAAACCCTGTCAAAATTTCCCTTTGTCAGAAACTGATACATCGTCAAATATTACAAGTCACTATTGATTGATCACTTATCTAGGTTGTAAACACCAAGACTTCCGCCAAATTTGATTATGTCGCATTATTTCCGAAATTAGCTAAATTAACGTAAAAATAAGTACATAATTAAATACGACAGTTATGCGAACAATAAATAAATGAAGTGTAAGAAAAAAAGAAAAGAATGCCTAATGGCAATAAAAATATGAGTTAAAGTAATTTAGCGTCCTGTAATCTTCATCATTTTTATTTATTGTCGAAAAAAATTCTTTTTTTTTCAAGCATTTCTTTCAAATTTTTAAATCCTGACAATTTTTCTTACAATTATCAAAATCAATCCATTCCGTTTTTTTTTGTTGTATAACAAACTCATATCATTATAAATTTTAACACAATACACTTAGTTTTCAGATTACTGCAAAATATGTGAGGTAATTTTATATTGAATGTGATAACAATTATTTTCATTAGGAAATGTGGACTGAAAATGAAGCAATCGCGGGATCATATGTATGTTATATATATATATATATATATATATATATATATATATATATATATATATATATATATATATATATATATATATATAGTATATA